GCCTTCCAAATAGTAAGTTCACTAAACTATCACTCCAGGCTGCTGAGTTTCTGGAGACCTCATCTCCATTGCCTGAGGGCTGCATTCTCCTCCACCCTGCTGGCTTCCTGGTGTGAGGTGTATATATATATGAGATAAGGTGTTGCTCTGTCACCCAGGCTGGAGTGCATGTGTGATCATGGCTCACTGCAGCCTTGACCTCCTGGGCTCAAGCAGTCTTGCTGTCTCAACGTCCTGAGTAGCTGGGAGCGCAGGTATGCCCCACCACACCTGGCTAACTGTTTTATTTTTTGTAGAGATCATATCTCACTATCTTGCCCAGGCTGGTCTTGAACTCCTGGGCTGAAGCGATCCTCCCACCTTAGCCTCCCAAACTGTTGGAGTTATAGGAATGAACCACCTTGTCCAGCCCAGGGAGTGAAGCTTTAATGTGCAGATTCTCAAAAGCCTTGATGGGAACCTTGAGTTGTTTGAGAACTGGTATGTGTTTTATTCCTTACTATGTCCTGGCACTTAGTGCATAAATGTATGCAAAACTGCTTCATTAAAGGGATGGGTGGATGGAGAATCTAGAAATAATAGAGCAGAGAAAGGAGCAGTGACTCTGGGCAAGGAACACAGTTTAAACTATACCAAGAATACTAAGTTCTTGACATGCACACCATCACTTTAGCATCCCAAGACCGTGGCAGACATTACTAGTCAATCTAATTTCCCCTGAACCAGAATGCAGCCTCAGAATACCTCTTAACACCGTGCACCTAATCAGAATTAGCACGTGAGATGACTTATCATTCCTGGACTGGTTGACATTTTGAGGTTCATTGCAGCCATCTGCCTCTCCTAAAAAAATTGCAAGGTATTGTGAGATGCTTGATCTACAAAGCTTGTAACATTATTTCTCAAATCACCAAACTGTCAAAGTAGCTACCTCTGAGTTTAGGCTAAGTCTCCAAAGTTCCTGATGGTGGCTCCTCATTGAGCTGAGTGTTCAGTTTTCCCAAAGAGCAAGCTCTTTCCACAGGCCTCGGAGTTTCTGTTTTGTGAAGTGGTGAAGCACGAGATCTGGGAGGCCTCTCAACTGAGACGCTGTCAGCAGGTAGCAATTCCTCAAAGTGCTGCCCAGCCACTGAGCCCTGCAAGCACCTGGCCCCCTCCAGGCCTTGGAGTCAAACTCCAGGAGAGGATGAGGACTGGAGCAGGAGCTGCCCTGTTTGGCCAAAGCCATTCCCCCAAGCCCTCCCTCTATGGTGACCAGAGAAAGGAAATCACAGACTTGGAGTCACATCACCAAATCCTCAGAAGGCCTGGGTTCCAGCCTCCCACCCACCCACCCATGACAGGATTCCTCCCTCCATAGCCTCCCTGACAAGAGGCTGTGCAGACCTAGGAGCACCCCTCCAGTGCCTGAGAGGTTGCCACCTTCATTCATTGAGAATGATGGTTATTTCATTGTTTCTTCCCTAAAAAAGAGGAATATTTATTTCTCCCTAGTGATCATAAGCATATTGCCCATTTCATGAGAAGAATCTCTTATCTGGTGTTTTTCCCAGCCAGGGATCTGCAAACTTTTTCTGTAAAGATCCAGATAATAAATATTTTCCAGTTTTTCAAGTCAAGAGGCAAAATCAAGGACACTATGTAGGTATTTATATGAGGACCATTCAAAAATGGAAAAGCCAGCTGGGTGTGGTGGCTCATGCCTATAATTCCAGCCCTTTTGGAGACCAAGATGGGAGGATCACTTGAGGCTCAGTTCGAGACCAGCCTGGGCAACATAACAAGACTCCACCTATACAAAAAAATAGAAAAATTAACTGGGCGTGGTAGCACACGCCAGTATTCCCAGGTATTTGGGAGACTGAGGCAGGAGGGTCACTTGGAATTTGAGACTGCAGTGAGCTGTGATTGTGCCACCGCACATTAGCCTGGGTGACAGAGTAAGACCGTGCCTCTATATAAATAAAGAATGATGTCAATGAGAAATCATTAGCAACCTGGGAAAAAAAAATTCGGGGTTGGAAAACAAGCAAGATAGCAAATGTGTCTTACTGTGTTTACACATAAATTTAAAATACGTTAAAAGTGTAAAGGTGTTGGGGGGCAAAATTCAATTTAAAATATAGTTGAGTTCCAGTGATAAGGTTAGAGGTGAATATTTTGTCTCTCCTCTTTCAGGGTTTCTGTAATGTCACTTGATTTTCATGATGCATCTAGTAGATTTTGGTGGTTTCAGCCATACTATTGGCCACGCCTTCTTCTTCTTCTTCTGGCAAAGGCATTCTGGTTTTCCTTTCCAAACCATCCCTCCCTATTCTCAATTCATGTAGTTTAGTGGAGCTAAGCCCACCTCCACTAGCTCCAGGGATGGGCACATGCTCTAAGTCCACCTGATTTGCACATTCCATTCCCCCTAGCTCTAGGGATTGATTTATGGGTGGATTTACTTCTGAGACTTCTTGAGCCATTAGGGAAGCGAAGAAAGTTGTGATGATATGTATCCAGAGCTACTAGCAGCTGTCTTAGCACCAAAAGGGGAGAACCTGCCTGAAACTGGAGCTGGTCCAGGGGAAACTAGAGCAGAGAGATGAAAGGACCAAGGGAGAGAGAGAGAAAATGCTAATACAATTGAGCACTCATATTCAGCCATCCCTGAAGTCCATCTTCCCCTGTAGTAACATAAACCAGTAATCTCCCTTTACTGCTTAGGTCAGCCTGAGTTGCAAATCTGTCGCTCTCAACTAAGCTTTTACTAGAGCAGTGGGAAAAAAAGAAAGAGAAAAAAAAGAAAAACAGCAAGCTTGACCTTCTTGCTTCTACTTTTAATCTTAGTTCTGACTTGTAGGAAGAAAAGTGCCTTCTTCTCCTTTTAGATATGTGAAGGTAACTCTCAGCTATCTGCCTGCTTTCCTCTGCCACTCTTCTGCCTCCACCACCACATACACAGGCACACACACACATGCATACAGACACATGCACACATATAATGCACACACATAATGCACACACACACAGTCTTCTCCAAGCTAAACTCCATAGCTCCCTCAACCATGAATCCAGACCCATCTTCAGCCCCTCCTCCCTCAGCAGCATCATTTTCAGGAAGTCTCCACTCAGACCTCCTGGACAAAAACTCCCTCCATGTGCGGAGAAGTCCTGAAGTATATCTGGTTAGGAACAGATAACTGAGGAAGGCAGGTCCCAACCGGGCTTCAGCCCTTTGTATTCAGTGTGTCCACATACAAAAGTGCAAGGGATCAGAGGCAGGCAACTTAGAAGGAAGCTCGGTGATAGGAGGGCACAGACAGAGAGGCAAGGTCAGCAACACCACCCAGTGGGGGACGCCAGTTAATGGGAGGCAATTTTGAATTCAAATCCACTCTTTAAGACAGAGGTCACCAACTGGCAGCCTGCTTAGTGGACCAGCACACACTTACATTTCATTTGGCTTACACCGTGGTTTTAAATTATTTGAAACTGAAGAATGTCACATAAGAATCCAAACTTTCTTTTTTTAAATTACTTAATTATTTTGAGACAGAGTCTCACTCTGTTGCCCAGGCTGGAGTGCAGTGGCATGATCTCGGCTCACTGTGACCTCCGCCTCCCAGGTTCAAGTGATTCTCCTGCCTCAGCCTCCCGAGTAGCTGAAATTATAGGCACCCGCCACCATGCCCAGCTAATTTTTTGTATTTTCAATAGAGACGGGGTTTCACCTTGTTAGCCAGGATGGTCTCAATCTCCTGACCTCGTGATCCGCCCACCTCAGCTTCCCAAAGTGCTGGGATTACAGGCATGAGCCACCATGCCTGGCCAAGAATCCAAAATTTCTAAGTCTCTTAGAAAGCTGGCACCACCAGGCCCATATCCCACAAGGTAACGACTGATTGGAGTGAGACATGGTAGCCCCTTTAAGAAAGGCCAGGACACTCCTATCTCCACCCTGTTGTCTCCCAACACCCTGCCATCGCTGGCATGTGTCAGCGAGCTTGTGCTGGCTGCTGTGTTTCCCATAGAAGAGAAAGACTCCTCTCTACCCCTGCCAATCAAATGGAAAAATAAACATCCATGTGTCCATGTGAGTGCATGATCTTTCTTTCTTTCCTTTTTTGCTTTCTTGCTTTCTTGTTTTCTTCCTCCCTCCCTCCCTTCCTCCCTCCTTTCTTCCTTTCTTTCTCTTTTCTTTCTTTTCCTTTCTCTTTTCTTTCTTTTCCTTTCTTTCGTTCTTTCTTTTCTTTTCTTTTCTTTTTTTTTGACAGAGTCTTTCTTTGTCATCCAGGCTAGAGTTCAGTGGAACGATCTTGATTCACTGCAACCTCCACCTCCTGGGTTAAAGCGATTCTCCTGCCTCAGCCTCCTGAGTAGCTGGGATTACAGGAGCCCACGACCATGCCCAGTTGATTTTTGTATTTTTAGTAGAGACGGTGCTTCGCCATGTTGGCTAGGCTGGTCTCGAACTCCTGACCTCAAGTGATCCACCTGCCTTGGCCTCCCAAAGTGCTGGTGTACAGGCATAAGCCACCAAACTAGGTCAGCTGCTTGATTTTTCTTACATTTAGCCTGCTTCATTCACTTCCATTACTTCCCTGACCCCAGAAGTGATTGAAATAATTCTTACAAATTTCAAATATATTCAGAATTGATAAACAGTAATCATTGGCACAGCTCCATCAGATAAAATATTGAAATAATTCTGTGCTTATTGGTTCATTACCACTGCCCTGAGACCCTGGGGGTCTCCCCCGGTGCCTAACCACAGTCTCTGGCACTTCCCGCCCTCTGCAGTGATGCAAGTCAGGGGATAACTTCCACGCGAATCCCTACGTTCCCACGGCGATGCGGCAGGTCAGGAGGTAAGGCCTGGCACTGCAGTTGGTAACCCTTTCTGACTGGCCAGTGCCCCAACTGAACCACTTGTCCATGGTTTGCGTCTCACCCTTGAAAACACTCCACAGTTATCTTACTTTGAGTTCCCCTAGAGGCAGACTGTGAGACACAGATTTGGGTGCAGGTCATTTACTTTGGATGCGATCTCAGGAGGCAACAGTAAGAGAGTGAGGAAGTGAGGCCAGGAAGGGAAGGCAAGACAGGGGTGTCGATGAGCAGGTTACCAGGGTGGGACAATGGGAGCTTGAGCCTGCTGGGGACTTGTGGGAGATTGCATAGAGCACATCTCAGGGCTGTCCCACCTGAGAGGGGAGGAAGCTGAGAATTTATCCACCAGCTCCATTTGTCATTGGTAGAGAGCTGCTTCCAAGGACATTAACTCCCTGGCACTTCTGGCCTGGCCTGTGTTCAGCTGAGAAAGGCTGCCAGGCAGGTAGAGAAGTGCGAATGCTTACAGCAGGTAGCTGGTGGTGCACACTGAACAATTCACTGAAGAAGCGGGCAGGTATGACAGAGTCTGCTGCAGCAGTAAAAATCAGTGATGACATGCATGGCAGGCAGAACTGCTTTCCAGGTGGCAGGGGATCCCCAGTCATGGAGGTTTACCAAAAGGAGACTGGCTGTGTTTTTCCTGGATGATTTGTTTATATGAGATCCCACAATTCTCTGGCTCCTGGACTGCTTATTTGCAGAGATTTCAGGATTCTCCTGGCTGGGAAAAAAAAAAAAAAAAAAAAAAAACATGGAGAAACTTCAACATTCAACATTCTAGGAAAATTTGGCTCCACAAAGATACTATCGACTCATTGCCTGCTTCCTGCTAATCTAACCATTTTCAAATTCCCCTTCGCAATTACTGCAATCAAGTTATTATCAATCATACTATCAATTGCTTGCCCCGCTCTAGGATGTAGGTTAAATATTCTTGTGTCAGTGGGATGCTGCATCCTAGATTTTCATTGAAATCTAATGACTTTCATCTTCAAAGAAACTGTTTGGAGCTAGCGCTCCATCCCCACCCCTGCTGGTTTAATTACGGCACTTCATACATTTCGCATTCTGAAGATAAACACCCTGTTCAGCGTTTATCCCAGGGAGATGCTTTTCAAGGGGTAATGTTCCTAAAGTGCCCACTCCAGCGAGAGGATGGCTCATCACCTCAACCTTATGAATGTGTACTGGCTTCTGGTGAAATGCAGCCAGGAGGCTTCGGCATCCTCCCAGCTGGTGCCTCCCTGTGCTGGGACCTGGGCCCGTGCTCCAAACAGCCACAGAGAGAGTCTTGGTGATCGAGGCTGGAAATAATACCAGATCATTGAGTGGGCACTTCTGGAAAGTAGAGCATTTGGGTATTTTTCCAAAGCATTGTTATACGTTTAATGTGTGCTTCCTCAATTTTCCCACCATTTATTGAACATTCATTTAACAGGTATCACACCACCACCAAGTCATCAAGACCTGGAGAAGGTGGGAGGAATTTAGGAAAGATAGTGCAAGACGGAGAAGATGGGTACCACTGGTGGTCCTGAGATCAATGGGGCAATGGGTGTTGTAGCTCATCCTGCCACCTCCCTTCTTCTAAGTGTCCCCTCAGAAAGAGAGGCCCATGGGAACTATGAATGCCTGTCATGTGCCAGGTACCATAGGCACAGCAGTAGACAATGCAGGTATCCTTCAAAGCATCCTGTCCACACAAAAGTCACATTTCCAAGGAGCAGGACCACACACACACACGGAAACATAAAACAATCACTAATTAGGATAAGATCCATGAAAGGGAAAATAGAACCCCACAGTAAAGAAATATAGAAGGGAAGGTGTTTAGGAGAGTTGAGCAGAGAAAGTGTATCAATTTAGGTCTTCTGAGAAGCAGATGTCAAGACAGGAGTGGATGTGCAAGAGATTGTTAGGCAGAATGTCGATGAAGGATAAAAGGTGAAGGAACAAGACGAGACGGGGAGAGCCTTCAGGTTGAAATGCATATCTGACACCTGGGAAAGGAGAGAGAGAAGGAGGGATTGAGTAGGGAGAGTCTCAGATACAGTGGAGCTCTGAGAAAGACTCAGTCGGGTTCATGAGGAGTTCTGGGAAAGACTCGGTCAGATTCAGTGGGTAGTACCTGAACAAAGCAGATGCACATCAGGCAGGAATGGTCCAACCCTAGAACCCAATGTTCTCAGTCACTAACAGCAACCTGGGGGAAATGTGGGCTTAACATGAATGTAATGGTGGATCCTAAGGTGTGGCTGCTAGGGGCTGCCATTCAACGATGCTCCCCACACTAGGTCCTCTTGAGCGGAAAGCTACATGGGGCATCTCTATGGCCTCCACAGTCCACCCCTTGCTTTTACAGGTCCATTTCTCCACACATGTTTGGGGAGCAATTCCTCCCTAATTCCCATGGGCCTCTCTTTCTGAGGGGACACTTAGAAGACGGAAGGTGGCAGGATGAGCTACAACCCCCATCACCCCATTGATCTCAGGACCACAAATGGCACTAACATTCTCCTTCTTCCACTGTCCTTCCTAAATTCCTCCCACCTTCTCCAGGTCTTGATGACTCATTGGTGGTGTGATGCAACCCTTCATTGCTAAGGAGTCTGAGTCCTTGGTAATCATACATTTCTTTTTTGTTTTGTTTTGTTGTTTTTTGTTTGTTTGCTGTTTGTTTGAGACAGAGTCTGGCTCTCTTGCCCAGGCTGGAGTGCAATGGCGTGATCTTGGCTCACTGCAACCTCTGCCTCCCAGGCTCAAGCCATCCTCTCACCTCAGCCTCCCAAGTAACTGGGATTACAGATGCATCCAAGTAACAAATCCCAAGTAACTGGGATTACAGGTGAACCATGCATGGATAATTTTTGGGGTTTTTTGTAGAAATGGGGTTTTGCCATGTTGCCCAGGCTGGTCTTGAATTCCTGGGCTCAAGCGATCTGCCCACCTTGGCCTCTCAAAGTGCTGGGATTATAGGTGTGAGCCGCCACAACCAGACTTATCATGCATTTCTTACGTTGTGTTTTCTGCATGTGTTCCTTCACAGTTACAATGGGGAAAGGGAAAACCAAGTTCCACACATATTCCTCTTCATTCCCATTGTGTACTAGCAGCCCTATCCCTTCCTGATGATAGGATCTATTATCCCTGCCATGATGGTGACTCCTCTCTTACCTGCTAGCCCCCAGATACAAAGTATTTAAAGCACCCTGGTAGCAGTGGTAGTTTTGTAATTCAATGGTACTCTTGCTGTGTCCCTGGCAAGAGTGTATCCTCTTTGGGAACCAAAATATTTAATCCCGCAGAGTCCACGGTTAGAGGGATGGAAAGCATAAAGTTTCCTGCAAGATCAGTGGGAATAATGTTAAGGGATGCTTCCATTCCTTGGTTCCTGAGTCCATGTACTTTTCCTACCTGGGACCCAGGAATCTCTGATAGAATGCATATATTGCCTTCTGAAAGATGGCATCTGACGGGCTTGCCGCCAAGCTGGCACTTACTTGTGCATTTGGAAGGCCATTCTAACATTATATGAGGCCAGCTCTTTCTGGATGATATGGTACATGATACAACCAGTAGACCCTAAGGTCACTGACTCAATTTTACACCTCCTTCACTATAAAATGGGTTCCCTAGACAGATGCTACATTGTGTGAGATTCCATGTCTGTGAATCAGGAATTCTACAAATCTCTGAATAGTTGTGCCAGCTGAGACTCTGCAGGCAGAAAGGCAGAACTACACCTGTAACAGGTATCTATCCTATAAGGTTGAACCACTGGTCCTTCTAGAACAGAAGGGGCCCAATGTAGTCAACTTGCTACCAAGTGGCTCAGTGGTCTCCTTGAGGAATAGTGCCAGATCTAGAGGCTCGGTATTGGTCCATGGTGTGGCAAATTAGGTATTCAGTGGCAGCAGTAGCTAAATTGTCTTTCCTTTCTGGAAATTCATAATTAGACCCATACTAACCTTTGTCTCTACAATCATGGCCATTCTATTCATTTGTCCATTCTGCCAGTTCTGGGGTGGCCATTGATGAAGGGTGGTTACAGTCAACTGGCTGAGTCATTTTGTCTTCTTATTCAGTGCCTCTTCTGTGGTGGATAGTTTCTGGTCAGAGTTAATATGTGATAAAAAAAATCTTCAGAGTTCACACCAACGTCCATATGTCCATCCACATGTCTCAACCTCAGACCTCCTTGTCTCCAATCCTTTCATCCTTTTCCTGCCAGGACTCTGATCAGTCAGTCAGGCTATTGGCCTCTGTCCAGGAATCTTTATATATTCTCAACTCAGGCCACTTCTCCTTGCTTTGAAAGATATTTTTTCTGGGTATACAATTCTAAGTTGATATGTTTTTTTTCTTTTGTTTTTTAAAAAATATTGCTCCACTGTCTTCCCACTTGCATTGTTTCCAACAAGAAATTTTCTGTCATCATTATCTTTATCTGTGTATACCATGACTCTTGTTTTCTCCCCTCTGGCTGCTTTTAAGACTTTCTTTTTATAACCAATTTTGAGTAGTTTGATTACAATCTGCCTTGTTATGGATTTCTTAATGTTTCTTGCTCTTCAATTTTGTGGAATTTCTTGAATCCGTGAGTTTATAGTTTTTATCAAGTTTGGGAAATATTTTAGCCATTATTTTTTAAAATTTTTATCCATGCTTCTCTCTTCTCTCCTTTGAGTACTCTACATATAACACGTCAAATAAAGTTGCCCCGCAGTTCACTGATGCTCTGTTTGTTTTTGTTCTTGTTGTCTTTCTTCTGTGTGTTTCAGCTCAGATAGATTCTACTGCTATGTCTTCAAGTCACTAATCTTTTCTTCTGCAGTATCTAGTATACCATTGATCTCATGCAATGTATTTTTTATCTCACATATTGTACTATGAGACCTAGAAGTTCAATTTGGATCATTTTTTCTATTGCATATCACTACTTAACTTTTAAAATATATACAACACTACTAAATATTAACTAATGTCTGCTAATTCTAACTTCTGTGTCAGTTTTAGTAAATTTTATTTGCCTGATTTTTCTCCTTATTATGGGAGACATTTTAATGCTTTTTTTCATGCCTAGTATTTTTTTATTGAATGTGAAGTATTGTGGATTTTACTTTGCTGTTTGCTGGATTTTTTAATTCCTAAAAGTATTCTTGAGCTTTGTTTTGGATACAGTTCAGTTACGCAGAAACAGTTTGCTCCTTCAGGGTCTTGCTTTTAAGATTCATTAGGCAGAACCAGAACAATGTCCAATCTACAGTGAATTATTCTACACTACTGAGTCAAGACCCTTCTGTGTATTCTACCCAATGCCTCATGAATTTTTAGATTTTCCCTTATGGCTAATGGAAACAAGCACTGTTTCCAGCCCTCTGTGAGTATGGAGTGCTATTCCTTATAATCCTTTCAGAGGGTTCTATCCCTAGCCCTGGTCAGTTTCCTCACACGTAGGTATTTATCAGTTCTTTTCTGAATACCTGAGGGAATCCTTCTGTAGACCTCTAGAGTTATCCACCTGTGCAGCATTCTCTTCTCCAGGGTACCATCCTACAAACTCTACCTGCCTTTTTCTCTCCCAACTTTCAACTCTGCCTTCTGAACTCGAGAGTCTACCTGAGTTTCCCCTTTCTGGGCCATAATCTGGAAAATTTCTCACGGTAATAAGATGGGGCACTCATAGGGCTCCCTTCATTTGATTTCCATTTCTGAAAGGTTATTCCTCTTCCTTGCCTAAATTTTCATGTCTTGAAAACTAATGTTTCACATATTTTGTGTATTTTTGGTTGTTTCAGGAACAAGAGCAAATCTGAAACTTGCTACTCCATCTTAGCTGAAAACAGAAGTTCTCCACCTCTGTTCCTCCATATTTGCCTTCTGTTTGTAAATGTTAGGCAGCAGTCTTATTGGCTGCCTGAATATTTTGCCTCTAAAGACACCAGGTTCATTATCCATGCTCTCAGTTCAAGCCACCGTCGCAGCCCTTCTGACCTTGCCAGTCTTTATGATAATTGCAGTCCTCTGGCTTCTGCTATATTAGGAAGTCATTATCTTCCTAACGGTCCAGTTCTGCATCTGCCTCTCCTATCAGCAGCCTTAATCTGCAGAGGAGAGCCAATAATGAGTTACCTGGGAGGCTGGTGTGCTTCTCACCAGTGCACTCCTGATGTTACTGGTGAATGATGTGTCCTCTTGGTTCTCCATTGGAACATATCCTCTATGGGCCTTCTGGCCTCATATACTGCATGTCCCTTTCCCTCAGGTTTTTTCCTCCTGCTGGAGAAACTCAGCTATTTCTACTTCATCTCAGTATGGGCCATTGCCTTCTCTAGGCTTCTAGAAACTTCTTTAGCAGTGAGTTTGTCCCATTTCCTCAGGCCTTTGCAAGGCTATTAAATCTTAGTTCCAAGAAAGTGATGTCAATTCAATGAATTCTTATTTGTTCAGTTATATGTTCTGGATCTTTTCATCAAACACTCCAGAAATCCTATCCCAGAGGTACTCTCTTGCCTCCTGACAGTACATACTTGCTCATTCATGCAACTCCCTCAGAAGACCTCTTTCTCCTCTTGTCAGGTGAGCATGCTCACAGTAGGTTTATACTGGCCTGGTATTCATATATTAATATAGAAATTGAAGCATGCCATACCTAATAAAGGTGCACAAATCCTGAGTGTATTGATGGATTAATTTGCATGAAGTAAACACACCCAGACATCCATCACCCAGGTCAAGAAATGAAACATGGTCAGCTCTCCAGAAGCTCACCTTGTGGTACCTTCTAGTCAATGCCTCCCTTCTAAAGATAAGCATGAGCCTGACTTTTGCATCACAGGTAAATTTTGTTTGACTGTGAACTCTTTACAAGTGGAATCATGCAGTATGTATGCCTTTGTGTCTGGCTTCTTTGCCTCAACCATGTTTGTGAGTTTCATCCACGTTTTCTCATGAGGTTGTAGTTCATGCATTCTCATTGCTGAGTAGTAACCCACCATATGATTATATCACAATATAATAATCTTTTTTACTGTTTATGGGCATTGGTTTTTTTTCCAGTTTTGTGATATCACCAATAGCACTGCTATAAGCACTCTTGTATGTGTCTGTTGGTGAACATAGGAGCACATTTCTGTTGGGTGCATATGAAGGAGTAGAATTGTGGGGTCTCTAGGTAGGTGTATGTGCATCAACTATATTTTGAAACAAGCTGGTGAGTGGGACTTTTCTCTCTAAGTCCCTGATCTAAGTTTGTCACAAGATAAGTGATAAGTGCCCTATATTCTATAGAGGAGCTGGAGGACACACCCCCTCAGACTTCTTAAGAGGTATCCTAACAGGTCACCCACTAAGACCTAACAGTATCCCCATCACCCACTCCAATCTATATAAGGAGAAGAGTAAATGTTTGAGAGAAATATGGGGAAGTAGATAGTCAGCTTTGAGAGTTGTCATCCTGGGCAGAGAGCACTGTGACTCAGGAAGAGGGACAGAAAGGGACCAGGCGTGGAAGGCACAGCAGCCACCAAGTATGGGACGTTGCTCAAGAGATTGGCTTCAGGGACCAGCCTGACACCCATGGCTGGTGGCTTGCTGAGCTGTGGAGTCTGGGAGCCCCATTCCACCCTCAACTGGGATAGGATGAGATGAGATAAGAACCGTCCTGGGAGTGTATACTTAGGAGCTTAAGGACACATGTCTTAGGCTGGGTTCCCCCTGGAATCTGACCCCGTGCTAAAGACTCAAGCACAGCAGTTTGATAAATATTCCAGGAAGTACTGAGAGGGAAGTAGGAAAATGAGAGAGGGATGGAAAGGAAGCCAGTACAGTGTGCATTAATGAGCAGGGACCGCTGTGGGCAACTGGAGCTCAAACCCATTGATGACTATCATGCACACACCGTGACCCAAATAAAGGCAAGGAAGCTGGGGTGTTTGTCCACCGACTCCTATTCCCAGGCATGTCAGCTCCCCTGGTACATTGAGCAGAGCCCACAGGAAGAAAGTCACAGGTGCTAACCACGACTTTCACCCCATGGAATATGACAACAAAGAGAAGTGCATACCTGCTACAGCATATATGTACGGAGATTCACACCCACTCCTTACCTGGAGAAACTGGAAGTGGGGGTCACGCTGGGGCAGCCCTCTGTGGAAAGGTGAGGAGAGAGGCAGCAGCAGGCACCCTATACCACCTCAATTTGCTGTAGCAAGACTGCATGAGTTTCCTGTGGACCAAATACAGGCCACGGGAGGTAGCTAGGCTCAAGATGTCTTGAAGGCATCTTGTCTGTTAGTTGTAGGGTTTCCTGCAAGAAAGGAGAGCAAGAGGAAGGTCCCATGAGGTCAGCCAGAGAACAGGCAACCCACACCCAGAAATAGTGTCACACAGAGATCCTTCCTGAGAAAACCATGATGCCCCGTGAAAGCCAACAGAAGGTGCCACTCCCTGATACAATTGATGCCTTGTAACGGCCCATCCAGGATGACATCTGTCCTCTCACCTCAGGGCTCACACACAGGGGATAGAACACCCACAGCAGCAGATAAGAGGGCAAGGAGGGAGAAACATGCTAGACAGTCCCAATTCCCCAACCTCCCCTCCTCCAGGATTCCAGCTCAGGTCAGGCTGAGACAAGAGGAGGGAGGAAGACTGGAATAGCCTGCAAGACTGGATTTGATAGAAAGTGGGCAGGACATTTTAATACCTGAAAATGAGTCAATTACAGAAGTTAACAGGAAAGCTAACCCATCCATCTGAGATATTGACAAGGGAAGGAGCAGACAAGACAGTTTGAAGGCAGTAGTGTGTGAAGACTGTTTCATAAATGGCTAACATCTCTGTCCTGCTTCTCCCTCCTATGTCTGAAATGCCCCTGCCCTCAGCCCACCACAGCAGAATCCTTTCTCTCCCTTAGACACAGGGTTTTCAGCCAAGCATCATCACCATCCCTCCAACCATTCCAGTAACGTGTTCCTATGTTCCCAACGGGGTGGGCCTGGCCTTCCCAGGGTAGGCGCATCTCTCAGGCATTACCAATCACAGGGCTCCATCCCATCAAAGCTAGGAAGAAAAAGATGCTCGCAGGATGTCCTGTGTTTTCTTAGAGTCTGTATTCATCTACTGGGCATCTACTCACTGGGTCAATTGTATTAACAATATTTCCTTCTTTTCTGTAGTATTGATGCTCTGACATTTGTGGTCTCCCTAACTGGGGAGAAACTGCCTCTCCCAGGACTAGCTGATTCCTAGAGATAATAAACAACTCAACCTGACTACACACCTTTCATATGCAAACCAACCAACCCTGAGTTCATACCCCCAAACACCTCCTTTATTCAACTCTCACGCCGTAAGGCAATATTTGCCCTGCCCCACATCAACCCAAGCTCAAGTACCAGACCACTAGGCACAAGTCCCTATGCCCCAAAGCCTGCCAGAATTATTCAGAATAGCTAATTCCAAACTAACTACCCCACACACCCATAGCCAATGCCTTGCCTTGCCTGAGGAAACCCTAATCAAGGCTCAGGCAGAGGCTTTCCCCTCACTCCCTCTGCCTCCTGACCAAAGCTGATGCTTCTCTCTGTGGCCTAGTGTGGTGTGGTATGTCCCTCCTCTCATGAGCTGTTCAGTAATAAAGGTCTTATTTCAATGTCATTGACCCCTTTGTGTCATCCCATGGCCACCTCTGTATATTAAAATCCTGCAGGAGGCCGGGCGCGGTGGCTCAAGCCTGTAATCCCAGCACTTTGGGAGGCCGAGACGGGCGGATCACGAGGTCAGGAGATCGAGACCATCCTGGCTGACACGGTGAAACCCCGTCTGTACTAAAAAATACAAAAAACTAGCCGGGCGAGGTGGCGGGCGCCTGTAATCCCAGCTACTCGGGAGGCTGAGGCCGGAGAATGGCGTGAACCCGGGAGGCGGAGCTTGCAGTGAGCTGAGATCCGGCCACTGCACTCCAGCCTGGGCGGCAGAGCAAGACTCCATCTCAAAAAAAAAAAAAAAAAAAAATCCTGCAGGTACACTTTGAGACACAGGATACAAGGGCCTTGAAAACTGGCGCTGTCAGGGGCATCTTTACAGCCCCATGTAGAGAGCTGCTAAATAACCACCCCAACCCAGGGGAGGCAGAGCTGAGAAATGAACACACGGCCACAGTGTGGACCACACTTTTGTAGCACCTGGGTTCATAGGCTTCACCCTGAGCGTTCTGTTTATATAAGCCACAAACAAAACAAAAGGTTTTTTTTCTGTTTTTTTTTTCTTAACTTTCCTTTAACCAGGTCAAGATGCACTTTCTAATCTTTGTAGCTGAACGTTCTGGCTAACGTACTCTCTTCCCAAATCCCTGATTAAGTCTCACCTCCTCCAGGGAGCCATCCCAGGTTACCCCAACGTCCCAGTCTCTCCCTCCTCACAATGCCAACTGCTCCTAGGATCTTGTAACATCTTCTATTACTCTCTCACATGCCATCTCATACTATTCTCTAACCGTCCCATGATTTCCCTGTGCTCCCAGTTTCTAGAGAGCAGGGGTGCTCTTTAGGTCTCTTCCTGGGAATGCTCTTATGCCTCTAATTAATTTGGGAGCCTCCCAGAGGTACCTATCTGTGATCAAATCATCAATGGGCTAACAGCAGGTGATCTTCCTGCCCCCCCTTATCCCTAGATGCCCACACATGGCCTCACTGGAGAGGCTATGTATAAACCCAGCTGCAATTTCCCTGCATCTTATCCTAAAATTCAAAGACATCACAATTTCCCCTTGACTTCTCCTGAAAACTCAAGAACCACATCACTTCTCAAGGCTCACCTGGCCTGGCTCACCAGCCAGTGGAAAAGCCCAAATGGGCTAACGCTAATGTAAACCCTTGTGGGTACCTAGTTCACCTTTGGTTTATCTCACCTTCCCCAACTGGTTAATTATGGGGAGAGGAAGAGAGTAATGACACCACTTCCCAGCCTCTATGGTCTGGTCCATTCATGGAGAGGACACAGCACTTTGGGGGTCACAGTATTCTGAGTTCAAGTCCTGGCTCTACCACTGCCTGATTGTATGTTTTCATGCAAGTCTCGTCCCTCTCTCCAATCCTTGGGAACTTTTGATCTGAAATAGGGTCATTAATAATCCAGACAGTGAACTGGGCGCAGTGGCTTACGCCTGTAATCCCAGCACTTTGGGAGGCTGAGGCAAGCGGATCACCTGAGGTCAGGAGTTCGAGACCAGCCTGGTCAACATGGTGAAACCCTGTCTCTACTAAAAATACAAAAAATTAGCCAGGCATGGTGGTGGATACCCATAATCCCAGCTACTCAGGAGGCTGAGGCAGGAGAATCCCTTGAACCCAGGAGGCGGAGGTTGCGGTGAGCCAAGACCATGCCATTACACTCCAGCCTGAGCAACAGAGAGACTCTGTCTCAGAGAAAAGAAAGAAAGAAAGAAAGAAAGAAAGAAAGAAAGAAAGAAAGAAAGAAAGAAAGAAAGAAAGAAAGAAAGAAAGAAAGAGAAAGAGAAAGAGGGAAAGAAAGAAAGACAGAAAGAGAGAAACAGAAAGAGAGAGAAAGAGAAAGAAAGAAAGAAGGAAGAATGAAAGATGAAAGAAAGAAAGAAAGAAAGAAAGAAAGAAAGAAAGAAAGAAAGAAAGAAAGAAAGAAAGAAAGAAAGAAAGAAAGAAAGACGAGAGTAAAGAAGCCAGTATGTTCATGTATATTTTGTCTTAACATAAAGCTAGAAGGAATATTTAAGTGAAAATTGCAAAAGTAAGACAATCTTTAAAAAAGTATCAACAAAATAATTATAGAGTGGATGCATGGGCAGATATAGCAACAACAACAATAATAATAAAGATAATTGGTGATAAGGGCAAGAGGCCAAATCTATTTCCTAAAAATGAAAAGCAATGTTCATAATAAAAGCTTGGAAAGAATAATATCAAGCAAAACCATATTTCATTTTAATGTGTAAAGTACTTTCTCATCTATGATCTACTGGGCTAATCTCATGCGGTGAATGTTCCTGCTCTCCATTTTAACAAAATAATTAAAACTGAGGTTCAGAAAGACTAAGAGGCTTGTCCTTGGTCGTGTCAAGGCAAAGCCAGGGTTATATATCAGACTGGTCTGGACACTACTTAGAAAAAAGAAAAATCTCCGCACCTGATTCTGGGAGAAACATTCTAGGAAGAGTACGGTTCAGGCCAGATTCTTGTCCCAGCACCTTCTATCCTGAAGACACACCCCAAAGGTAGTTGGGATCATCCCCTTGGGCAGCAAGGGGCACGATCACCCAGATCCCCAACTAAAATGTCTCTGCCTCATGAGTTTAAATGATTAGCTGCTTCCAACCTAGTCCCCTCTTCTCCACCCATCCCTTCCTCCCCGACTCTGGGGCGCTGACACTCCACTGGAGTGGCAACTCTTTTGAGGACGCTAAAAATTGCTTTATTTTTCACCACTAATTTGCCAACAAGCTCAGTCGTCCATCCAGTTGGCCCGAAATGAAATTCTATAATTATACAAAAGCCTGGGTCAGCGACCTTCTGATTGCAATATCTTGTCTCTTTTGTCCCTTCCTTCCACCACCTCACCCATGGGACGAAATTGCTTCGGCTCCTCCGGCAGCCTCCGGAATGAGGTGGTATTGGAAACTAGTGAGGCGTGGCCCTGCGGAGGTGTTCATAGCTTTGCAATAATTTACCCATTTTCATTTGTTTGATTTCATTAACACCTGGGTCTCAGGGGAGAGCCCAGTTGGGAAGGAGGGAAAAAACAAGTGATTTCAGTTGAAATCGAGTGGTTGTCACTGCCTTGTCTTGCAATACCAAGGGAGTGTGGAATGCCAAGGGTGTAGTGGGGTCTGAGAAGGGTGATGAAGGAGGCCTCTCCATACAGGCAGCTTCTGCTAAAAAGTCTTGCCTTTCACAATCCTCGGTCCTCAAGGGTCCCGTCTCTCAAACTCACCCCATTGACCCAAGGGTATGCCCTACACCAGTGTCCCTTTCTCAACAAGCCAGCCTTACTGACCCATTGGGCCGAGGTTACCGGGGTGGCTGCATTCAGACAGCATGGCTCAGTGTAAGGGCATGGATGCCCATAACTAGGATCCAATCTGACTCCACCTCCTGCTTGCCTGGTAGCCTCGAACATGGAGCTTCAACTCCAGGAGCCTCAGTTTCTCTCATAAATAAAGTAGAGATGACAGCACCTACCTCATAAAGTTGCTGCAAGAATTAGCTGGGATAATGAATGGGGAAGAGTCCTGAATGCTGTGTCTGACACATTGTGAGTGCTCAGTGGAGAAAGAACAATAGTAATAGTTGCCATCTTTATGATTTTCTCTTCTTTTTCATCTTTGCTATCACCATCATCATCATTATCATCATCATCATCACCATCATCAATCATCACTCCCCACCTGGCCATCTCAGCCTCCACAGGCTCTCAGCAGACAGAACCCAGTCTCATAGGGAAGGCTGAAATGCTCACTGGCAGTGAGCAAAGTCCCGGGGCCCAGCTTCCTCCAGAGAGTGACTTTGATCCAGTATAAGTCACACTACCGACCGGCATAGCACACCCTTGCTCAAAGGCATAAGAATTCTGGTGACTTTGTGATGTCCAAGTGATGGAGAAGGACACTCCATTGGCTAATGGCATCTGATGGTGAGACAGTCCCTTGTGGCCAGTCTGGATCTGTTTATTCTCCCCGTTCCCTAGAGCATCCCAGCCTTCCCCAGGGCTGGGAAGCAAAAGCCATTGCCATTTTAGCCCATGGAAATAGCAGACAGTTGGAAACATCACTTTGGGGTGCAAGGGTCTTCCAGAGGTCCCTTGAATCAGCAACAAGGGGCCTTAGAGTCTGCTTCCATCCTCACAAGAGGTTGATCTGCCTGTAAAGGCAAGTCCTTCTATTGCCAGTAACAAGAATGTGCTGAT